AAACAAAAGACAACCGTTTCTTCAGAAAGATAATAACTGTGTCAAGATAGCTTGAAATAAAAGCTTGAGAAACATCAGCATCAAAATCTTTTTTTTTAAAAAAAATTTTTATCATCTCTTTAACTGTACACAAATCATTATGAGCAGCAGAAACAATTTGACTTGATTGAAGAAAGTTTTTTGCATGAACTGAAGTTACATATATTGCAGCCTTTGAAAATACTATTTCTTCCTCTAGGGTTAAAAACTTTATGATTGGTTGAGTAAGCTTCATTGCCAAAATGTATAAAGCATCTGCCATAAATCGAGCTTCATGTTCAGCAGCTGGTTTGTGTATAATAAATTCAGGAACTGCCTCCCTTCCTTCCAGAAAAACAATGACATATTGACACAAATGTTTATAATCATTTCTGGGAAAAGTATTAAGTTCCAAAGCTTTTTTGCAAAAAGATAAATTTTTTTTAGCCATATCTTCTAATGGGGTTCCACTAACTTCGCACCACGGAAACTTTGATAACTGATCCATATTATTTTGAACATTTTCATAATGCATTGGCCAAGCAGCTTTGAATCTCGTATAAATAGATTTTGATGGACCTTTGCTTTCTGTTTTAGTGATTGCATTTATTGCATGTAAAATATGTCTTTCTTGAGAATGTTTTCTACAAAGACGTCTTGACAGAGGTCGATTTAAAAGTTCTTCTAAAATACTTATACAACCCTTATTACAACCAGTGTTACATGCTGTTGTGTCAGCACAAATCCCAATTATAATGCTTTCAATTCCAAACTTTTTTATAACATTAAAACATGTCAATGCTTGATCATATCCTTTCCCCGATTGACATTCAACTATGCCTAGCAGCTCATCCTTTTGTTTTCCATTTGTATTTAAATCCCAGTCTGGACTTGTAACAACAATAGCTAAACGTTCGCTTACTTCAGAAATACAGTCTTCATTTAAAGTTGTAACTTTTTTTGTATCAATGTGCAAAATTAAATTACTATTTTTACATTTTTCTTTTATTTTTTCTTTAATTAACTCTGATTCACTTACATACAAATCTTTTCTCATTTTTCTACTTTTGTTTTTGAAAGTTTTACTTCATTAAGATTGATATTTCCACATCTTAAAAATAATGCTAATAATCCTGTCTGTACTCCAACAGAAATTCCAAAACGCCCACAAAATGTTGAAGTTTTTTTAATAAGTTCATCAATATCTACTGTTACTGTCACTTTATTTTGTTTTATGTTAGTTGATTGTTTTTCAATTTCATCATAATTATTATATTAAAATTCTTCATTATCAAAATTTTCTAACAAAAATAAATCTTGATTTTCATTAATACAATTACTATTTGATGAAAATTGTTTTAACTTTGAGATTTTTGTGGCAGATTCTTCCTTTTGCTCTAACTCCTTGGCTTTCCTTTTGCGAAACTCTCTGTTGGAATAAACTTTTTGATATTTTTTGTCTATTTTGTCAATTATCATTGTTCTTGCAGTTTTTTGATCTTCATAAAATAAAATATCGCATTTTTTTGCATCTTTTGATCGAATTCTATCTTTTTCAATTATTTCATAAAGTTTTGGGTGCCCTATGTCAAACAATTCTTTTTCTAATGCCAAAAAATTATTTTCATGCAGCTTTTGTGTTTCCGTTTTTTTTGAACGATATGATACTAGTTTCTTGTGATAATATATATTAATTTGGTAACATTTTCCCTGAAATAATTTAATATATTTTCATTTGTCATTTGTCAGCTTAATTTTTTATATCAATAATTATCAATAATTACGTAATAAACTATAAACATTATTTAAATCAATATTTACCTAATACTTCTGCAACTAATGTGTGGTATACCACCCATAAGCCACGGTTTTCTAAGAGCAGAAACAACACATTTGGGCTGACATATTTTATCATTACATAGTAGCTCGTGATTTATATTTAGAGGGCAGGAAATAATTTCGATGTGTTTTTTTGTGATAAAAATATCTTAAAACGTCGCCTTTTGTAGGCAAAGTTCTGCAACCAATTTCGTGGGTTTGTCCTAATAAAAATATTTCAGTATTTGAACGTGTTGATATTGCCATTTTAAATTTAAAAAGTTACAAACGCAGCGCAGTTTCATAAAATTTATTATTGCGCGCTGTGATTATAACTCCGCATAGGTCCGGCGGTGCAAAAAAAAAAAAAAATTCTCTCAAAAATGTAATAAATATGAAATATTGAAACTCCTAGGGAGGACAGAGAATTTAAAATTTTTCAAAAATGCTTTCAGGAAAAGTCTTTTATGGCAACATAGAATGGGAAAATAAATTGGCAAAGTTGTAGTTTTTTCAACCCCTAAAAACGGACCTGCCTAATGATGAATTGCCAATTAAGTATGATGTGAGTATTATACTTGATTTGCAATACGCAATAAAAAAAGTATTTTAATGTACACTTTAGTTAAATCTTTTTTGTCATTATAATTTCTTTTAATCATATTTAGAATAAGCATTTTTTTTGTGTGTGTGTGTGTTAACCATTATTAAATATCTTTGTTTTGTATCTTTTTTAATTTGTTTTTACACCTTGGGTAAAAAATTTTTTCTAGAATTTTTTTTTATTATAAATTTATAGCAATTTTTTTTTTATAGAATTATAGAAATTTTTTTTTTTTTTGCATAAGCGTAGACTTAATTACTATTTTCTTCCTGTATGATCGTAATACCTAATTTTGAAAAAATAATCTTTCATTTGCTGATTAGATTTTTGATTTCATCTTTTTACCATTATTTTGTGGCAAAGAAACTACTCTATGCTACTTACATTTGATTCAATGGCAATCAAAAAATAGTACCAATCGCATGTTACTTCTTTATTTGAAAATCTTTTTTAACCATTTTTATGAAGTTACTTGATTTATTTTTAAGTCAACAATTTACTATTTTTAAACAAAATGTTAAACCAATAAAAAACTAATTAAGGATATTTTATGGTTAAAATAAATTATTTATTAAAAAATTCAGGCTTTTTCTAATTGTGGAAATTAATTTTTTTGTGAGCCATTATTTGCAAATAGATTTTATTAAATAAGCAAAGTCGTATAAAAGAAAAATGTCATCATTTGTGCACTAAGAATTAAAAAAATTAAACATTCCAAAAATCTTTTTATTCATTTTGTTATTGTGGCAAAGAATTGCAACAATTTGCTATCATTTGTCACAATAACAATTTTTAGATGCTAACTTTCAATTGTTTGGAAACTAGCGTTTCCAAACAATTGAATTTAGCGTAAAACTTTTACTGGTGATGCTTAATACAAAAACTGTTTTGCACCAAATAAACAACAAATTATTAAACCCATATCTGCTTATTCATTTAGGGAATTTACAGGTTTACCTTTTAAAAATTTTTATAAAAATTTGATTTTATTGAGAAAGGAAAAGGTATAGTTTTAGACATTTGATTGAACAAATCTCAAAAGAAGAAATGTTATCTGCTTTCACAAAAGACTTTATTTCATCAGGCATAGTACTTAGAGATTGCAATGATTTAGTAATTTGTCTTGGTGTTGCCATTGGGTTGAATTTGACTTGGATTTACACAAGAAAATTCAGATGGTTGATGTTTTGGTCTTAACATTCTGTAAACAAAAACTTTTTCATAGTCTTTAGGCTGATGATCTTCACAAAAAAAAAGTATTTTGACTATTTAGATTATTATCGTGAGGTTAAGCACTTATCCATTTTTTTGGTTCACCCATAATTTCTTTTATTTGGAAACCAAAAAATTTCCACAAACATTGTAACTTAGTTATCTCTGCATTCAGTGACAAAGCAATTAAAGTAGTTAAATCTATTTATTTAGCTCTAAAATCAAAGTAAATTTAACATACACAAAATTAAAACATATGGCATATTAGATTAAAATACCACCTTTTTATGGAACGCGTCATATTCAAATGATTAATTTAAAGTTTCTAAAATTAAAACACCCCCACTGTTTTTTTAAGCTGTATGTTTACTTAGCTTGCCACTATAAAATGTCATGATTGGCTTTTAAAAATCATTGGGTAATCATATGGTTATGCATTTTTAGCTATGCTGATTCTGTAAGAACAAAACTTTAATCAAATGGGAAAGAGAAGATTTTAGGAAATTAAAAAAAAAATGCTTAAGCTGGCTAGTTTAAGATCATGTTTTTATAATTTTATGAAGGTAATATATACTTTTGAAAGAGGTCTTATACTGTTGTAATAATAAAAAAGGAGATTATTGTACTCAATGGTATTTATATTTAAATGAATTAACATTTAACAGTATTGGAATAACATTTAAAATCTGAAATTTTATTCTATTAAAGTAAAAACCCCGCATATGTTTCAAAATTAGATTTAGCTTGAGATTTATATTTTAGCTAATTATTAGTTTGTTTGTTTTTTTAAAATGCTTTTTCATCAGTAATTATTATTTACGAAATTCTTCTCTTATTATAATTGTTATTATTTCGTTAGTATTATTATTATTGTTATAATTATTATTGTTGTTGTTGCTATTATTGTTCTTATTATCATTATTGTGATAATTATTGTTGTTGTTGCTATTATTGTTCTTATCATAATCATTGTTATAATTGTTATTATTATTATTATTGTTATTATTGTTATTATTATTATTATTATTATTTTTGTTATTATTATTATTATTATTATTATTATTATTGTTATTATTATTAGTAGTAGTATTAATAGTATCAGTTATTATTATTATTTTCATCGTTGGCTCTAAGGCTACGTTGTATATTCAAATATTTACTTTATATAAGTACTTGTACTATTGTAAATTTCCTTGAAATGTGATAACTTATTTCAAAATATATTTGATTTGATTTATTGATTGATTGATTTGACACATTATAAACAGTAAACAATTTAGCTCATAACTATTTTAATTTTTTAACTTTGAGTTTTGTAGGAATAAAAATAATCATTATTAAACTTTAGAGCAACTAATAGAAGATAGAGAAACACCTTTGGTTCAAAACAAACTGGTAGCAGTTGTTCCAATATTGGAAAAAACTTACAAAATTTATTTTGATGTGAAACCAAACTCATATTCTCAAGGATGGCACAATGTTATTTTTTTTAACATTAGTTCTGATGCAAAAGCATATGATGATAGAGTTCCAGGAGTGTGGTTTCATAATAGTGGTAATGGAAGTCTTTCTATCACTGTTCCTGGAATTAGAAATCTTAGCAGTTTATTTAAAACAGCTCCTATTCCTCCTAACACGTGGTCACACATTGAAATAAGTCAACAGTTAGAATATAGTGTGTATATGTATACAATAAAATTGAATGGAGAAAAAGTTTTTTCAACAGAAAATATTCATCCAGAGTCTTATGAAAGTGTTAATGTTTATGCTTCAGATCAATTACATTATGCTCAAGATGGTTTCATTAAAGATTTTGCAGTAATAAACAAAAAAGCAGGTGTTTATATAGAATCTAAAACTGTTACATTCTTTGATAAATCATTTTAATGTTTACTACTGTTATATTTATATTACAATTTAGCTGTTATGTTTGGTGGCATCTAACCAGATATTGCTTTATTAATAAAGCTTATCTGTTTATGACTCATTTTTTAATGAGATCATTGCATCAGGCATATACAATATTTAGAATAGTGTTTTTTAATAAATTTTCAATGGTTTTTGGGGAGAAATAGTTTTGAGTAAACGTTCTTAGCAGAGTTTAGCAGATGGAACAGGCGAAGTTTTTAAATTTTTAAAAGTTTTTAAAGATCATTAAACTTTTAAGTTTTTAGTTTTTTAGTTTTTTAACTTATCTCAATGATTTGACTAAAATAATATCGAAGTTCATATACTCGATTAGCAATCTTTCACTGTAAACAGAACCTTGATCTAAGTTTATTTTAACCTTGATCTAAGTTTATCTTAAGTATTCTTTTATCTACATTTTTTTGAAAACATTTTATAATTAGAGTTACTTCCAACTTCTGGTAATTTTTGATTTTTTTATCATAAACAAATTTTTAATCAAAAATGAGTTTGTATTTTTTTTCACTGTTTCGATAGATAAATGTGATTTTTTCAGATTTATTGAATTTTTGAATATATGAAATTGCCAACATATATATTGTTTTCTTATATTTAATATTGTTCTATTTTTTCATAGTTTTTCTGAGATAAAAAATTGGTATAAGAGTCTATAGTTTGAAAAATTTTGTGTATTGCAGTAATTAAACAAGGGGGTAACAATTCCATTATTATTGCTTTGTGTATATTTAGTTTGCCAAACTTTTGCTCAGGTGGCCGAAATCAACATAAAATGGTCTGAAAATCACAACTCCTTTTTAACATTGTAAAATTGAAATTTCTATCAGTTACTCTAGTTAATATTGAAGATCTTTTTTTAAAGATGTTTTTGTTGCAGATGCTGGCACCCTAGTAGAAAAAGGCCTATAGGGTGTAAGGGATTTTAAACCTAACTTTTGGTTGTTTTTAGAAACAGTTTTTCCAAGACTCTAAGTAATAGAGTATAAATATGCAATACTTGAAATTTAATAAAACTTATAATAAAAGTTTTTATGCAATCTTTGTTAAGTTTAAGTTCTTTAAGATATCTCAAACTCCTTCTTAGAAAGCTAATAATTGGATCTGAACTGCGTATTATTTTTTGCATAGAGCTCTGCTTTTTCTTTGGTGTACTTTTCGTACATCAAAAAGAAAAAGCAGAGCTTTTTTTTTTGGTGTACGAGCAAAAGTAACGTAGAGCTCTGCTTTTTCTTTGGTGTACATTTCAAGTTCATCAGCATTAATTTGATGTTTGCACAATAGAAACATTTCATGAGATTTTTATCCAAGCCAAATATTTCAGCAGACACTTTATATTTTCTGAATACTTTTTGTGCCATGTTTTCATCATTTGTTGTACCTGAATTGCTTTTAAAATTAAAATTTTCTTTAATTTTAAACTAAAGTTAAACTTAAGTAATCTTTCATTGTTTGTTGTTTTTTTATAACAATTTTTAGCATCCTACTCAGTTACTTGCCATTTATATGTGCTCAATTTAAGCTCAGTGGAACCTGTATTAAAGATTTTTGAAAAAGCAACATTTAGATTGGTGTTATTTAAAGTGGTTAGTTCACAAATACTACATACTTGAAAAGAATTATATAAGGCGAAACTGGATTTTCCATCCATTATTGTGCATTTTAATTTATGTTTGATAATAGAGGAATTAAAGGCCATTGATTTCAAATTAATTTTCTTGAAGGAAAATATTCTTGTGTAATAACCTCAGCACTTTCTTTTACATGAAGAAATCGTACCGGGCAGCAAAGTGTAAAAGATAGTTTTTCATTAGTCTGTAGTGATTCACTAGATTCTTCAATATAATATTTGAACCATCAAATCCTGCTTTTTGTATAAAGACAAGAATGGATTTCTCAGGAGCCTTTACAGATTCATTGAGTATTTGTAACAAACTGTATGTAGTATAGTCAATAGGACTCTGTAAATCAACTAAGGCTGAGTAGTTTGTATTCCACTGCAAGGTATGCATAAATCTTTTTATTCCCTTACTTCATTAAAAGTTGAATACAATTTGTTTCCTTTAGAAACTGCTCGCCAATATGAATTTTGCCAATACAAATTGTTTGGTAATCAGCTTTACTATGTCGGCAGTCCAAAATTTAAGCTAATCCTTCCTCTCCAATATTCATTGTTGTTAAATTAATTGCACAATCATTCTCTGATCTTAATATTTGCCTTACAACCTTAAGTGTAAAAATGTAAATTTGAAGAGTGAGACAAATACAATCCACTAAGAAAATGTATCACCTGTAGTACTTTTGAGTTTTTTTTTTAGTAAATAAGATAAATTAAAAATGGCTATAGCATAGGTGATAATGTACCTTAGCATTGCTGAACCTTAATTCCTCTTTTAGTTTCAAAATATGTAAAATAATTCCTCTCTTTTGACAGCAATGTTTGTTTTTTCTGCTCTGCTCTTCTTTATTTTCTTAAAAGCTTCTTAAAAGGGTGAATGGTGGGAAAGTGGGTTTAAGGGTGAATGGTATGGAATTAGCATCTGGTGGTCTTCTGAAGACAACTAATTTAAATTAAAATATCAGATAATTATATATAGTATAAACACTTACAACACAATTAAATAGAAAAAACATCATGAGTCTATTACTTTAATTTTTATGAAATATCATACCTTAATTGTGAAAAGAGGTAGGAAAAGCCAAGCCCGAGTTTTGCCACTTGTCTAGTACATCTGTTTTAAAACATGCATCGCTTGTTTGTTGTTCTTTTTCTAACTAGATTTTGTAATGCAATTCAAATCTATCCTTGTGCCTGTTTACTTTATTCCATGTTTTGTTAAATTGTTTAGAAAATAATTTGAAGTCTGTGTCAGAGATCCCTGTAACTTTGTAAGCATCATGTTCGAAAACTGATTTGATTAAGTTATTTTCCAAAGTATGAAACAATTTTTGAGTAATTTCTTTATTTTTCATAATGATTGGTAGAAAAAAATTTTAATATAAAAGCATAATTATACTTTTTTAACGTTTTTAAATATATTTCCATATTTTATCCATATTTTAGAAAATAAAAACATATTTGATAATTAACTGAAATAAGTTTAAGTTTATAAATAAAAACACACTAATTAAAGTCCTATTCCACATTACTTAATAATAAGGAATATCATTCATTTATATTGCCTCTTGTAGTTTCTGTAATTGCAATTAATTATTTAGAGTTCATACTTAACAACAATGTGCTTTGAACAATTAAAAATGACAAACAAGTTGTATGTTTAAAGCCTGCTAAAATTTAATTGGCGCAACTTTGTGCAAGATATTTTTAATGAGAAATCTTTTACAATATTAAGACGTTGTGAAAAAGATATTCCTAAAGTGAGGGAAAAAGGGGTAAAAAAGATCTTAAACCTTTTATGGTAACTTTTTATTTTATTTTGCAATACTCTATCATATTTAAAGTTAAGAAAAAAATTATAAAATACAAGATTGTTTTTATTGATTAGGTTTTCTAAAATAAAGGATGTGCCCTGATATTAAGACTATAAAATTTTATTTAAATTAAAGAAAACTGTGCTTACAAAGTGAAATTCAATTTTACAAGTATTTCTCTTTTTTTTTTTTTAAAGTTTTTTAAATGGATGAGCTTAAAAACTTTCCTGGGACTCCTAAAACAAAATTAAAAACATTTAAAGATTTTTTTATTGTGGAGTATTTACTTTTAAAATTTTGAGAAAAAAAGTTTTCACAAATGCTCATTTTCAACATTTATGCCAATCTCTAGCCCACTGTTTCACAATTTAAACCAAAATAAACTTTAAAAAAGTTTGATCATAATTAATGCATTTATAACTTCGATGAATGTGCACTGCAAACTTTTTTACTTGTAGTTTTGTAGATATAGTTGGTATGATTGGCATAATGAAATTGCCAATATTTTCCTGTAAATTGCTTTGAAAATTTTTTATTTTTGCGTTTCCAAACATATCAGTTTAATGTTTGCTATATCAGTTACTTAAGCTTTTCTTTTATATTTTTGTTTCATCTTTTACAGTTGTTTCAGCTTGAGTTAACAATTTTGTGAAACTAGTTTTGTCTAAAATATAAAAATAAATCTGTTTTTATATCAAGTTTTATATTTAAACATTAAGTTCTGCCTACTCATAATATGCTTGTTTATGATAGGTTAACAATGATGCAATAATTGTCTGATGACTGTCTTTGTCATTACCAAATGTTTTTAATTATTCTGTATTTTGTTTTTGAAATAACTATAAGAAAAGTTTAATTTTCAGCAGTAAATAAATTGGTAGTAAGTGTTATTTTCATTTCCACTAGTAGTGCTCAAGAAACTGATGTTATTTGATAAAGAATTTAAAATTATTTAAAACTTGTTTCATCTAGACTAAATACACTAATCAACATTAATGTTTTTTTAATTGGAACAATCCCAAAGCGCTTTTGCTCATCCCAAGTAATTATGATAAAAAAATTCCAGGTGGTTTTTCAAAAAGACTGATTGCAATGTTTCCACCCAAAAACTAAAATTCTAAATCAGAAAAATGGCAACCTAATTAAATTAAAAATTACCAAAATCCAAAAAATTTGTGTATCAGGAGAAGTTTTTTTCTATTTTTGAAAAACCATAACATTTTAAATAAAGATGGTGATCACCTGAAATTTTGCAGGGTAATAGTTTTTCACCCAAATAATCCATTATTGCAGTTGTTTTTGACTGATTTTTTACAGTTTTTGAGTTATTGTACCTTAAAGTTGCTAAATATTGCAATATTATAAATATTTTTTTGAACTTTAATGTGTTACAGTTTCATAATTACTTACAGAAAGTGGATTTATTTGTTACCTTTTTGTACTTAGGGTCACAATTTGTTAGAATAATCAAAATTTTGCATT